TCTTGCGATACCATTAGCACTCAAGCGGTTATTACCCCCCCCCCTTCCCAAAAAAAGAAAAAATAAACAAAAACGAGTGATTTGGGGATGGCATTCAGCGAAGCCAAAATCCTCGACCAGAACTCAAGACAAAAGTAGCAATCGGACCACTTGATATCACGGCGTAACGGCAGTTATCGTAACGACATAGAGAAGGAACCGTTACCACCACGTGCGGGCTACTCGGCAAGGCGTGCGTTCGTGGTTACGCGGGAATTGTTCAGGCAACACATCAAAGCACACGGGAGAATTTTTTTCCTTTTTTCTTTTCTTAACCTACTATAAGCAATGGCTCTTTTTTTCTCTTTTTTTTTAACCTGCCTCAGCAAATGTAGTTTCTCTCTCTCTCTCTCTCTCTCTCTCTCTCTCTCTCTCTCTCTCTCTCTCTCTCTCTCTCTCTCTCTCTCTCTCTCACACACACACACACACACACACACAATTAACCTACCTAAGCAAATGCAGTTAGATTTAGTTTCTTGACCCACCTAGACAAAGGCAGTTATTTTGACCAACCCAAGCAAAGGCGCCGCACAATAACACTCTCTAGACGCCACGATAAAGAAACAGAAGAAATTTTACGAGATCTCAATCGGGTAAGAAGGCACCCCCCCCCCTCGCTAGAGAACAGTGGGGTTGGCAGAGAACAAGACACAGGAGGCTCGGAGTGACAAAGAACAAAGTAGCGGTGTTCACAATACCTAATACCCGCCCGGAGGGGGTTGAGGGCGGGGACGGGAACGCTCTTCGTGTGCCTCCTCCTCCCCCCCACCTCTCCCCTCCCCCTTTCGTCTTCGTCTCCCTCTCTTCCCCTTTCGTCTTCGTCAGCCTCTCTCCTTCCCCCTTCCTCTTCCCTCTTCGTCTCCCCTTCCCTTTACCTCTGCCTTCCTCTCTCTCTCTCCCTCCCCTTTCCCCCAACCATGACTAAGGGTTATTTAGAATGGGTGGGGGGAGGAGGAGGAATGGGGGAGGGGGGAGGAGGAGGAATGGGGAGGGGGGAGGAGGAGGAGGAGGAGGGGGGGAGGAGGAGGGGGAGGGGGAAGAGGGGGAGGGGGAGGAGGAGGAGGAGGGGGAGGGGGAGGAGGAGGAGGGGGAGGAGGAGGAGGAGGAGGGGGAGGAGGAGGAGGGCGAGGAGGAGGAGGAGGAGGAGGAGGAGGAGGAGGAGGAGAAGAAGAAGAAGGAGAAGAAGGAGAAGAAGAAGAAGAAGGAGGCAGTGATAGCTCACCCATAGACATTCCCTTACGATATAGGACCGTACGTTCTTCCAAAAACCCATGCCTAAAATATATCCGTCTCCATCATGTCGTGTGAAAAGTGAATAAACCAGACACCCAATCAGAAAAAAAATCGAGTCAAAATCCATCTCTAAATCACCATCTAACCCTACGAAATACCTCACAAAATTCTCACCTGGCTTAAAAAAAGGAACACCCAAGTTCAAAAGGAATCTGTAAAGTTAAGAAAAAAAAAGGTCTAAGGAGCATTTTGAAACCAGCAGGAGGAAGTGTATATCCAAAAGGCGAGGTGACTGTGCTGAAGAGTTTAACCGTTACCTCTCTGAAACAGCCTATAAGCACAGCCAACGACCGTGCAGGATGTCTGAAGCTGTTACGAGAGAGCCTCAGCGAACGCGATGGGTAGTGAACGCTACTGTTTTGCTTCGATGATCGTAATATTTGTTATTGTTGTTGTTATCCTTCATCATTATCATTAACTTTATCACTACACCTGTAGTAATATAATAATTACTTTAAATCCATATCAGCGAACACGATGGGTGGTGAACGCTACTGTTTTGCTTCGATGATCGTAATATTTGATATTGTTGGTGTTATCGTAGTTGTCATCTTCATCATTATTATCATTATCTTAATTATCACTACACTTCAGGTAATAAAATAATGACGAAATCTATTTCAGTATTTTTGTCAACATTTATTATTATTATTATTATTATTATTATTATTATTATTATTATTAATATAATAATTATTATTACTATATTATTATTATTATTGTTGTTGTTGCCGTTATTAGTATTAACTCTAATGCCATTATTAATAAATTGTCATTTTAATCAATATTCATTCAAATAAATTTCATCACCGCAATGTACCAATATAAACCCCCGAAAATCATACTTAATAAAATAATAATAATAAAAAAATAAACAAGTAAATAAAAATTCGGACCTCAAATAAAAATCTAAACGATCTAAATGATAACAAAACAAATTTAAACATCAAATCAAAACAAATTTATATACACAGGACTTCGAAACTGTGCTCAAATATGTGTTACCTGTGAGACCCTATTAAGAAGGCTGTATTGAGGTTAGACAGTTAACCCGCGCGATTCGAACAGGTGTCGGTACTAACCGGAGTGTTCGAAGCAGCGGGGATTTACGTAAGTGCTGTCTCGCTCTCGCTCTCTCTCTCGTTTTTTTCTCTCTCGCTCTTTCTCTCTCTCTCTCTCTCTCTCTCTCTCTCTCTCTCGTTTTCTCTCTCTCTCTCTCTCTCTCTCTCTCTCTCTCTCTCTCTCTCTCTCCCTCGCTCGTTCTCTCTCTCTCTCTCTCCCCCTTGCTCTCTCTCTCTCTCTCTCTCTCTCTCTCTCTCTCTCTCTCTCTCTCTCTCTCTCTCTCTCTCTCTCTCTCTCTCTCTCTCTCCCTTGCTCTCTCTCTCTCTCTCTCTCTCTCTCTTGCTCTCTCTCTCTCTCTCTCATATGCTATTCACTCTAGGGTAAAAATATAAAGCAGTGCAAGTCGAGTATACACGCGTACATAAATACATGGATGTGTACGCGTGTGCGTGTGTGTGCACCCGTGATGCAAATGACGACAAACTCGCAACTCTATATCCCTTCAGTACTCAAATTTATCACGATTTTCCGAGAGCCAAGAAAGCGTACAGCATTTCAACATACACTCCACCTCTCGGGGGGAGAAGGGGGAAGGGAGAGGGAGGGAGAGAGGGAGAGATGTAAGAAGCTTATCTAAAAGCAGAATCACGCTCAAGAAGAAATTTTGTACCGATGCGACTGGCGATGATGATGATAGCGGTGGCGGTAGCGGTGCGGGGGGGGGGGGGGGGCAGTCACGGTTACGGAAACTGTCTCGCAACCACCACGGCGTCTTCTGAGGGTGGAATATTACTTGTCATATCTGCGAAGGGTGTGTCGTACATCTGATATATATACTTTTAGACTAAAAAAAAAAAAAAACGGATTGAGTGTTGTAATTAAATATCATTACTCGGATCACATTCTCATCAGCACTTTCTTAAACTCGACTGCACGAAATCCGTACCACGATCTTCAGTTCATTTGATCAGAGAGCCTTTTTATATATCTATTTATTAAATATATTCATGTAGCAAAATAAAATACGCAGGTTTAGACGAGGCAAACGTTTCCCCAGCCCACGATGACATCTTCAGGACCGGGAGAGCACGCAAAAGGAACGAAATGGGACCTGCAAATTCAGACACAGCATTAACAACGCCACGCCCTTAAAAACAAAAAACAAAAAAAAACAAAACAAAACAAAAAAAAATCAAAACAACGCAGATTGAAAACCAAACTAAAAAAACGAAACTATAAAACGTAA